CAAAGCAGGATCTCAAGGCAGGAACCTGAGGGAACACTGCTTACTCCTGGCTGGCTCATGCTCAGCTACCTTTCTTATGTAGCCCAGGGTCACCTGCCTAGGGCTGTTATTGCCCACAGTGGACTGGGTACACCTACTCAATTACAACCAAGAAAATATCCTACAGACATAGCCACAGGCCAGTCCAAGGGAGGCAATTCTTCAATTCAGGTTCCTTCTCTTCAATTAAGGCTCCTTCTTCCCGAGTGTGTTAAGTTGACAACCAAGATTAGCAATCACGTATGCATAATTTGATGGAGGAAATCCTGTGAACCAACTTGAGAAGAATTCTCTATTTCCTCCTTCTTCTTGTTCCTAACCTCAGAACAATTCTTGCCCCTGAGGTTTGTTCCATCCCTCCCATCTCTCTGATGCTCCCACCCTGCGCTTCCTTGGGTACATCCCCCAAGCCTTGCAGATAGTAGCTTTTTGAAAAATCTCTTTACTGACAAGCTGTTTTCCTCCAGTCAGGTTTCTTTATGCAGCTGTCAAACCTTAGTTCTTAGATAGCAAGTGTTGTGGCTCTGTGTTGCTCTGTGGTAAGCCTCCCAATTTAATAGCCCACAGCCAACACAGCTATAACTCACAGTGATGCCTTCTTTAGTCACTCTTATGGTGGCTGGTGTCTGCTAGCTGGTTGCTGCGAGGCCTAGATGTGGCCCGTTCCTGAAGTCTTGGCTTCCTCGTAAAGCACCCACGCTCTCTGGGTGAGCTTGTAAGAGCCAGAGCCAGGCAGAAGCTGAACATGATCTCTTCTAACCTAGCCTCCAATGCATGTGCCATCACTGAAGGACACCTGTGGTCTTTTAACATTCTGATGATGATAAATACAGGGATGATAAATAAGACCATTTAAGTTTTGGTGCAGATGTAAGTTTTCCCTTAGGTTGGGCAAAAACTCAGGAGTTAGATCAATAAATAGGTCACAGGACATGTACATAAAATCTCAAGACAGAGAGTCAAGCTATCTTCTGCACCAAGAATGCCATTTGTCTCTCCACGGGCCACTTTTGAACAGATCCAGTTCTGCTGTGTCTTGATCCACATTTGTGCTGCCTGACGTTTTGACATCAGGGGCACACCTGTGGGGATGGGGTCTTTGATTTTGGCTTGGAATTGCATTTCTCTTATGGCTGGTCCCTTGAGCCTTCTTATGTGTTTGTTTGATGCATGTAAATGTGTAAACTTTGGTGAAATGTCTGTTTGGATCCTATAGATCTTATGCCCAGTTTTATAATTTGGATGTTTGAGTCTCTGTGTGTGTGGCGGGGGTGTGTCTGTGGTGTGGTATGCATGTAGACGTGTTGACAGATCAGTGGTGGTCTGTGTGTGTTGGGGGTGGGTGGTATGTGGGTGTGTGGGTGTGGTATGGTATACATGTGGACAGATCAGTGGTGGTCTGTGTGTGTTGGGGGTGGTATGTGGGTGTGGTGTGGTATATATGTGGCATGTGGACAGATCAGTGATAGATGTCTGGATGTCTTTTTCAGTTGCTTCACCGTATTTTTCGAGACAGGGTTTGTCTCTGAAGTTTGTTGTTTTGTCTGAACTCCCTGGACAGTAGTCCCTGGAGACTTCCAGCACTGGGGTTACAGACGTGTGCTACCTTGCCTGGCTTTTCTGTGGCTGCTGGGGTTTGAATTGGTCCATGTGGCTTCTTTCCTTTAATATAGTTGCTTTCTTCTCCCTGGTTGCTGGCTAGGCTGTACCAGGCTGTCACTGTTACAGGGCAGAGATTGAATGTTATGTTCATTGTTACATTAAGCCCCCCCCCCCCCCATTCATGTGTGGTGGCTGGCACTTACTGAATATATGAATGGATTGAATTACAGACAGTCGCCCATGCCTGCACACATCTATCCCTAATTATTTGAAGTATTCTGTTCTTTTCTTTCTGCCTAGTTGGCCCCTTCCCATCTTAGGAACCCTGTGAACTGTGCCCATCTGCTCCAGGTGGAATTACTTGGTCCCTGTGTTCTAAGGGCACTTGTAACATTCCTAGGATTTGGCATGGCCCCAGTTGTTTTTGTTATTCACGGCATTTTGGGGAGGGCCAGGAGAACAAATCACTCACCTCTTAAACTTCAGCACGCAGTAATCCTACCCCGTATTTAGTAAGCACTGGAGCAGTGTTTACTGTTTGTATTAAGATACTGGCTGTCTCCTTCTAATGGTTTGTTTTGTATTGTTCAGTTTTGTTGAGCCTATCAGTTGACATCAAATGACCTCTTCTAGTCAAGGCTGACCTTGAACTACCTCCTGCCTCTACTTCCCAAATGCTGGGATTACAGGTACCAGTCACCAAGCCTGGATTTTAATATTAACTTCAAAATAACCTTAACTTGAAGCAAGTTAAGGAAGAGACGAATAAGCAGAAAACCTTGCAGATGGAACCTGTGGATGCGCCTGCTCCTTTCTTTACATTGTTTTTCTGAGCTGTGAGGATGCATCTCATCTTCTCACTCAGGTCTGATGAGCTCACACATGGGGCTTCAAAATCTGGCAAAGGCTGTAGTTTCGTGGGCATAAACTCTTTGGAACCAGAGCCTGAATATAGCAGTGATGTCTGCTTTATTTATCTGTCTGTCTGTCTGTCTATCTATCTTTCTATCTTTTCTCTATCTATGTATCCATCTATGTATCTATTGATCATCTCTTTCTTTCTTTCTTTCTTTCTTTCTTTCTTTCTTTCTTTCTTTCTTTCTTTCTTTCTTTCTTCCTTTCTTCTATGTATTTATTGATCATCTGTCTTTCTTCTATCTTCTCTATATATCTATTGATCATCTATTTATCTATCATCTCTATCTATCTATATACGTATCCATTGATCATCTATCTATCTATCTATCTATCTATCTATCTATCTATCTATCTTGTATCTATCTTCATCATCATCATCACCATCATCTCTATGTATCTATTGGCTATCTATCTGTCTGTCTGTCTGTCTGTCTGTCTATCTATCTATCCATCCATCCATATCTATTGTAGTCGAGTATTGGGAAATCAGCCTAGGTGTCTGTTTATAGAAGACTGGGTCAAAAAACATGGATCATTTCCACAGTATAATTTTACTCAGCCACAAAGAAGAATGAAATCATATCATATGCAGGGAAATGGATGGAGTTGCATAGCTCACCATGTTAATTGAAATAAGTCAGATTCAGGAAGACAAGCATCATGTATTCTCCCTTCTCCCTAATGTGTTGAACCTGAGCTTAGCGGGTGGAGTTGGGAGAAAACAGCAGGGAAGTAGAAGTGGTTCTACCGGGGAACAGGAAGCTGGTCATGAGGAGGCTGGAGTGGAGGTAAGAAGTAATAGGGAGACTAGGTAAATATGACTAAAATATATTATATGCATACACAAATATGTCACAGTGAACTCTACTGTTTTATATGGTTAATATGTCTCCTCCAAATGGGAAAAATCATTTTAAGAAAGAAAAGAGTCTCGTTATCTTTTTGGTTCAGCCTCACTTCCTCTCTCTGCAAATCAATGCCTTTGTCTGTGAAACATGACAGTAATCTCCTGGCTTGTTTGCAGGTCGACCCAGGCCCTTTCTGTGTAGCTCTCAGGTCAGCTGCAACTCAGCTTTTTCCACCTTCCACCCGTCTTTGCTGTTTCAGGCAACATTGCAGCGTCTGTGCCTTATCAAACTCAAAACTAAAATTGGAGCTTAAGTTTCAAAGATTTACAGCTTGAGGTTGTAGAAGTCAGATGCCGAGGCAGTGAACGGAAAAGAGCTAAGTGCTAAGTGAAGAGGCACGCACCATGCTGTGGTGGGGTCAACAGGCAGGTCTACAGAAGAGGAGCTGTGTGGTGACGGCATCAAAGGACATGCGAACTTTCAAAACACTGCTCAGCGGTGAAGGGTATTCTGCTTAGGCAGTACCATGTGTGGTAGGCAAGGAATACTGCCAATGACTGAGAAAATGGTGTAGAGGCAGGGTTTCACATGCAGACCTTTTCCCCATAGCTTCTGAGCTTGTATGGAGCACTGGAGATAATTACACCTGCTCTATTTCAAGGATGGGATCACTGCTGGGAAGTGTAAGAACCACCAAATGGTTGCAGGACTCTCGCTGAGCACCAAGAATCCATTTGCTATCAGAGAGGATAAAGCATTATCTTTGCTTGGGGAACAACCTCTCGGAGACTGTGAGATTCTTGATGCTTGTGAATCGATGAAGAATTCTAAGGAAACAAGCCCATTAGCGTGGTGTTAGATGTGTTTTCTTTCTGAATGCTAGCATCAGCTTCTCTCTACTGGAAAACTGGAATTGGAGGTGCTGGGGATGATTTACTTTAATTTTGTGGAATTCTGCTTGTATTTTGCTGTATGATGATCTGTTGCAGAGAACTGAATTGTTTACTAGTAAAATTGTTTGGAGGGTCAAGAACCATAGCTCAGTAGGTAAAAGTGCTTGCTGCATAAACCTGGCGATCCCAGCTCAGTTCTTAGAACCCATGGTAAATGCAGATGTGGCGGCATTCATCTGTAATCTCAGCACTTCACAGTGAGATGGGAGACAGATTCCCAGAGACAGGAGAATTGCCTGGGAGCTCTCAGGCCTGAATAACACAACAGAGAGACAGAAAACTTCACCTCAACAAGGTAGAACTGAAGAGTCTACTCTTGAGTGTGGGATTCCCCTGATCTACGCACATAAATTTTGGCACATGTGCACCCGCACACACACACACACACACATGTCAAATAAAAATGTAATGTCTTAGTTTTCTTTGTTTTGCTCTTTGAGACAGAGCCTCATAAGTCCTAGACTGCCTTGAATTAGCTATATACCAAGGCTGATCTTGAACTTCTGATATTCTGACTGCCTTCTTCCAGAAGTGATGAAATGACAGGCCTGTAGGCACCACCAGACCTCCCTAAAGATGCAGTGTCACTGGACCTATGCTGCAGGACCATGCTCATGTTCTTTATTAATTTTGCTTCTAGAGACCTGATCCCCATCATTGCTGTCCTGGAATATAATCAGTGGTTCACCAAACTGTCCTCCAAGGATCTTAAGCTGGTAAGTCACCGAAAATGACAGCCACCATCGCCCAGCCTCTGCTGAACTTCAAAAGCTCGCTCACTGTCAGAAAGATTTTATTTTGGTACCATGCTGGTGAGCTGCACACATTCTATTTCTTGAGGAGATCTCATTCCTAGGAATGATTAGCATAACACTGAAGTTTGTGATGTGAGAGCTTCAGAGAGATTCACCCTCCTCTTCTCAGTTGCCTCAGGCAATTTTAGAACAGAAAGGCACATTTAGTAATGCCTTCTCTACACACTCATTCAGTTGGCAAAAGCTATTAAAGTCTCATTTGCACAGCTGCAAACAGCTGGCTTTATATTTCAGCCTTTCAGTTCATCACCACCAAGTTTCTCACAAGAGAGAGAGCAGTTTCAGGAAATATCAACAGGTAGACATGGTCTGATTGGATTATAATATTTAATATTAATTCAATATATGTTCTTTTTTCTTTTTCTTTCTTTTTTTTTTTTTTTGATTAGGTAGGGGATTTATGTATAGACACAATAAAACCAAAGTGAAATCTGTTGCTTTTCATATTAAATAGAACAGACAAATATTTGGTCTGCTCTGGTAATAGAAACTGTTGGAAAGTAGACCAAGTCAAAGCTGCTATATGGAAAGATACTTGTCCATAAGTTACTTCTCAGATACTTCATTTAGGATGAGAAATAATTTAGATTTTTTTTTTGTATAGAAGCAGGAATCTGGTGGTGAGATTTTTCTAATAAAGATGCTGGGTTAAGAAAGACTTTGCAGAAATGGAGCCTGTGAACAGGTTACTCATGTGTATGAATTGCCTAGAGTAGGTATGACTTAGGGCATCATGGGTTTGAAAATGGCTGAACTCATTTGGGGGCCCTTAGGAGCCATGGCAGCATAGGTAAAGAGTATAGAGTCAGAAGCCTGCGTTTCTTACCATGACTCTTCCAACCAGACTGTGGGAGTGGAGATGAGTTATCTAGAACCTTCCTGGACCTCAACTTCTTGTGTGATAGCTGCTGTCATGTTCATCCCTGTCTTGCATGGGCATTGTAGCTTCTTGCTAAAGTATCTGCCTGGTCAGAATTTATTTCATAATTATAGAGTAAAATCACTGAACAAATGAATGAGAGAACCCAATCATAAAACTGATCTGCCCACACTGAGATGAGCTCACAGAGATCACAGTGAGCAGATTTTGTTTTGCTTTGTTTTGTTTTTTAATCAGGCCCTGACTATCTAGGAATTTCACAACTGTTGATTCTTTCATTATCATAATCATCATTACAGACTAGTAAAGAGGTTGAGAAACAAACTGATGTGGAACTGGGTAGGTTGGGAACGAACCCAGCTAGGTAGCCATTTTTTTGCATGATTGTGATGGGGTTGGGATACCAGGAATAGAATAGGGAAGCCCTCCATGAATGAGCAGGTATCAATGATGGACACGGGAATGGGAGCCTCAGGTTTCCTGGGATGGGACCATCTCTAGGACTGAGCTAGCAGAGGTTACATGTTGACAGAGGTTTCTGCCCTGCCCAGTACTGCAGTCATTCAGCCCCAAAGAAACACACAGAGGTCTACATTAATTATAAACTGGTTGGTTTATTAGCTCAGGCTTCTTATTAACTCTTACGTCTTAAATTAGCCCATTCTTGTCTGTGTTAGCCACTTGACTTGGTACCTTTTACCAGTGAGGCATTCTCATCTTCCTTCTCCTGTGTCTGGCTTCCTCTGTGTTGACTGCAGATTGACCATTTCCTCTTTCCAGAATTCTCCTGTTCTTGTCACCCCGCCTATACTTCCTGCCTGGCTACTGACCAATCAGCATTTTATTAAACTAATACACTGACAAATCTTTACAGGGCACAAGACCATTGTCCCATAGCAGTTACAGGTGGGAAAGGGTAGACCTTGGAGGAAAGAGAAATGATCTTTGAACCAGAACAGATTCTTGCCAAGACACATTTTATCAACTTTATTTAAATGGTCATACAAGCATAAGATATTCAAAATGGATCCTTGAGAAAGTTTGCAAAAGGCTTTAGCTAGGTAGTTTTTTTTGGAATTTTTTTCCCAACTCCTCAGTGCAGAAAGGCATTCAGTCAGTTAGTATTGGTATTTCATCATTGTTCCTACCTGGTATCATTTTTCTTGTAACTGATTTAGTGTTAAGAATATAAGTAATATATGAGATTTCATCCTGGGAAAACAAAGAATGGAAGGGCTTAAATGTTTCCTTAGATACCTTGGGATAGTGTGAATAGAGTGGCAGTCTCTGAGGACTACTCTTATTGTCCCTTTATAAACTGGATACATGTGCAGTTCTGTACATGGTGCTTACATGGTGCTGGGCATCAAAGCCAGGGTTTGGCCATGCTTGGCAAGCACATCTCCACTGAATGGAATTCCCCACCTTTACATGTGCTTGTGTTTAACCATTTGACATTGTGAAATTAAATGTGACCTTTGTGAATATCATACTACAAAGCTTCCAAAACAAAATAGATGAAACATCGTGGAAGGGAGGGTGGAAAGAGTGTAAGAGCCGGAGGATGAGAGTGCTGTGAGATGCTGTCTTCTGCACATGGCGTGGCTGTTGTCCTTAGAACCTCACTGCAGCTGTGGTCACCTGCACAAGACCTGTGTAAGATCAAGCCCAGGTCAGTCCTGTGTCCCAGCAGGCAACACTAAGTGGACACAGTGGATACCAAAAAGAAAGCAAAAGAAAAGAGTTTGCCATCACCCAAAGCTAAAGGAAAGGCCACATTCTCCTGACAGTATGTGACAACTTTTGAAGGATAGCTCACTTAAAAGGAATAGCCAACAGTGGAAGCATGTTGAGGGGTTTGTAGCATGTAGTTCATGATGAAAATAAGGTCCCTGAAGTTACACCAACTCTCACAATTTCTAAGGTGATTCTCCTAGCCCAAATAAAAGCCACCTTTCTCAAAATGCCACAAGAAGAAAGTGATTGACATGCTCTGTGTGGATCTCATGAAGACTATTAGCAGCTATAATCCTCGTCTGAACCATGTGTATCATATTATATTTCATATAGTCCAGGCCTGCTTTTTTTCCTCCCTCATGCTAGGATTGTAGGTGTGTGATATAGTGTCCATCTTTGAAAGGACATTTTTAAGACTTCCAAGTACACAGTATGCAGTGACTACCATCTTTCTGTGTAGCACTGTTGACTATATAAAATAGCTTTAGAGCTGGTGTCTGTTTGGCTTTCTGGGTTTGTAACTCCAGGAGCTGCATCAATGACATGACTGTACCAGGCAGTGTATTTGGTTCATTGTTTCTGTTCTAGGCTTCCATCTATATTTTGTTTATTTACTTATTTTGCTAATTCTCTTGTTACTATTTAGGGGTTTCGGTTTGTATGTGTGATTGACTTTTGCCTTACTGTCAATTCACTGGGATGTGTCAAAGCCCAGGATGTCTGATTTAGGCTTTCTGGACTGAATGGAAGGAAGTAGCACGTAAGAGAGATGAGAGCTGCATAGTGGAACAGCGTTTACAGCATCCTTCTCCATCCTCTGGCTCTTGTGTTCTTTCCACGCCCTCCTCCACTATTTTTCAACTTTTTCTTTTATGAAACTTTGTAGTATAATATTTATAAAGGCCACATTTCATTTCAAAATGTCAAATGTTTAGAAACAAGTTATAAATAAGCCTAAAGAACTATGATATTCCTAGTTTTACAAATGAATTGTTCTGATCCTGCACTGTCAATGTGGTAGACAAGATAATTTTTATGATTATTTTATTTTATTTTATTTTATTTTGTATCTAGGTATGTGTATGCATTTCTATAAAATGTTACCATTGTACATTCTTGGATCTAGAAAAGTCTGCTTTTCATGTAGTTGGCACAAATAAAAGTTAGCACCATTAATGAATAACTTGTTAGAACTCTGCTCTACTGACCTCTTAAAGAAGAGTTGACTGCACCTGCATACACTCCCTTAAATACATTCTCATTACAGTGTTTACACTCAATATGGACACTCATTCGTCAAAGCTCCCTTTGGGTAAATTCCTCTTCTAGATGCTCTGCTAGCTAGCCAGGACTCTGTATGATTGCTTAAACTGCTCTTAAAATAATTCCTGCTAAAACATGATCCAGATGCTCACTTTAAGCCATGACAACACCTAGCTCAATCAATCTCCTTACCCATTCATCACGAAACAAAGAGTGGCACACATAGGGCCAAGACATGGGAGATCACTGCTGTCGGCCTAATGGGAATTGCCTTGGCTTGGGTAGAGTTGATTTTTGCCTTTGCTGTCAGTTCACTTGAATGTATCAAAGCTCAGGAATGGTGTGAGGCAAGCTTTCTGGACTGAATTGAACAAAGCAGCATGTAAGGGAGATGAGAGACAGTGAGACTCTGGGTATTTCCAGGATAGCCTTTTGTGAAGATTACCCAACTGAAGCGCTTTGGGATATTTTATTTCAGACTGTATTTCAGTTATTGGATATGCCAGCTGAACATGTGCTGCTAGATAAAGTCAGAGAACTCAGATGCACTGAGGAGATGGATCTGTTTGTTTTATAAAGTGCATTGCTGTATGTCATGGTACACAGGCAGGTCATCTCTTTTATTTATATCATAAACAATTTAAGTAAGCCCTTGATTATAATGCAGGTTTTTGTTGTTGTCGTTATTGTTTTGTTCTTTTGAGACTATGTTTCTTTGTGTAGCCTTGGCTGTCCTGGAACTAGCTCTTGTAGACCACGCTGGCCTTGAACGCACAGAGATTCCTCTGCTTCTGCCTCCCAATTGCTGGGATTAAAGGCGCGAACCACTACTGCCCAGGGGTTATAATGCAATTGTATAAAATCATTTATCAACACCTGAGCTACAGTAAGTTTTAGAGTAAGCCAGTATAAAAATATGAACACTTAGAAATCCAAATATGAAAAGCATGTGGCATAGTTCTCAATATTCAGTTCCCCTGTGTAATAATTACATAACTACATGACTTAAAAACAAAAATGAAAACCTATGAAGGACCTGGAGAGCTGCCTCAGCAGTTAAGAGCTCATACTGCTCTTCCAGAGGACTTGAGTTCCACTCTAGCACCTCTATCAGGTGCCTCATAACCAGCTGTAATGCCAGCGCTAGAGGGTCCTGTATCTCTGACCTCCGTGAGTACCTGGACTCAAACGCACATACCCAGACACAGATACTCACATAAATACACATGTACTCACACTCATAATTTAAAATAACTTTTAAAATATTACTAGCATGTAGATATTGATTTAGTGTGGGGCTTGGCACTAGGCCAGGCCGCAGAATTCTGTCCCTTCCCTGAGGAGTAGTGCACTTGGAGACTCTGTATTATGTGCTGTGGTGTTCTCATGGTGGTGCATGATGGGGATGCTGTCTGACTAGTTCTTGAATGAATGTGTATGGATGAGAGTTTCACTTGCTTATATCCCCATAGATTCGTATATTTATAGCACTCAAGTGAAATGGTTTTCATCAGATGTTCAGAACAGTCAACAAGTGTTCTCTGTTACAGTCCACAGATGTCTGTGAACAGATTTTGAGGGTGGTGAGTAGGTCCAATCGACTGGAAGAATTGGTGTTGGAAAATGCTGGACTCAGAACGTGAGTATTTTCCTGAATATGTGAACACATGACTTTATGTCATTTGCCTTTTTGATCAGTACATGATCTTTTAAAAAATATTCAAATGTACACAAATAATGTTTCCTTCTGGAAAAAAAAAAACAAAATAAACAAAAAAACTTCATATTAATCTTCTTATGGTAACAAAATAGTCAACAGAAGCAACTCGAGGGAGGAAGGCTCAGCGTAGACACAGATGCAGTGTGTCATGGATCCTGGAGTGGAGGGCAGGTGCCACACATGTGGCTGTTATATGCTTCAGGGGTCAGCAAGCAGAACAAAGGCCAGGCTATTATCTATATCACCAAATCTATGGCCCTGCATTGGCTAACAAAGCCCCCAACTGCCCAATGTTCCTCAACCTCCCTAACAGCTGGGGGTAGGGGCACATGTTAAGATACATGAGCCGATGGGGTAAATTTCACAGTCAAATCACAACACACACCAGTCAATCAGCCCATGATACCGTCATTATCATGAAAGCTAAGCATCTGATAGCATGCTCTGCTTCAGTGCTGTGGGACGTTCTGAGGGCCCATGGTGTGGTGGTTAAGAGTATGTGCCTTAGTGAAGTGCCTGAAGCTTCAAGCATGGAATTTAGAAGTCTACATCTCAGCATCTTTTCCTTTGAAATGGAGATAGTAACTGAGGTTTTGAGAGCAGGCAGATGATGAGTGTGTCGTCCTTACAAAACACGTGTGTCACTGAAGATGCCCGCCCAGCTTTTACTACTGTAGTAGTGATAATACCGGACTCCCTGTGATTTTCTTACATTAATCAGTTTTAGTCATTTCTCCCGCTCTTTCACCCCCGAGTTTTATTCTGAAGAGCACGGGGTAGAATCTGTTAGAACAAAGGCTTTATTGTTATTAATGAGCAAGGCAGGTATTTTTGTCACCCCAGCACTTAGTGTGCTATTTCAGGTTAAAACAAAGCTAAAACAGTGATTTTTCTTTTTGTACAAAATCGGGTGCTAGTAATGATGGCCTTTAACTCAGTAATTAAAATAATCAGTTTTGCATCTGTGTGTGTTACAAGAAATAAGAAGTAAGATAGAATGAAGAGCCTACTAGAATTTTCAAGAAAACAGGATTGCTGTGGAATTTTTAAAAAACAGGAAGGGGTCAGCGATACTGTAAGCTGCATTTAGCAGTGTATCTCGAACTGGAAGTGATACCAAACCTCCGGCAGCTGGTAGATGGAGTGGGGGTGAGGAGATCAGGGGTGGGGTGGGATAGGGGGGTCTTTTGGTATAGTAGTTGAGAATCCAGTTCTTCATTCAAAGAAGGAACTTGAGGTAGCTGGTCACATTGTCTGTACTCAGGACGCAAACAGCCCGAAGTGTGGTCCGGCTTCAAAACCACAAGGCTGGTTCCTGGTGGTCCACTTCCTCCAGTGAGGGTCCACCTCTTAAGAATTCCACAACCTTCCTAAGTAGGACCATTACATGGGGACAAAATGATCCTTTGCGGGGGGGTGGGGGGGTTCATAGGTAACCCAAAGGGCAATCATGCTTTTACTCTGCTCTTTTGTGTGAGGTTTTGCCAAATCAAAACGAATTGAATATTATGTGTGTGTCTGTTCTCCCCGTGTCCCACCCACAGAGTGGCATTTGAACCTAGCGCTTTCCCCGTGTAGGCAAGTGTTCTGTCCCTAGCTCTATCTGTCCCTGAGCTGTCCTTGTTGCCCTATATGGAAAACTGTAAGGGAGAGTTTCTTTCTTTTTGGTTTTATTCCGTTTTAAACCTGAAATGTCTTATTTGAGCAGTCTGCATTTTGTTCCTTACTCCTGCCACGTTGTCTCCTTGCAGAGATTTTGCACAGAAATTGGCCAGTGCTCTAGCACACAATCCTAACTCAGGCCTTCACATGATCAACCTCGCCGGGAACCCGCTGGAGGACCGAGGTACCGAACCGTTCGTATTATCACGGATGCCAGAGGTGCAGGACACTGGCATCCTACTTTACCGGGCTGGGGAGTAGTACCAACTTCAGGTTAGTCACCTGGAGTCCTTGCCAGAGTCTTCCACACAAACTTGGAGGCCTCTCCACACTGGCCTTCACTCATACACTGGGAGTCCCGCCCATGCTCACCCTCGGTCCTCCTCACCACTGGTCAGCAGCAGAGTAACTTCCCTTGGGGCTGCAGGGCTCAGGGTCCCTGTGCCCTTGCTCAATCCCGGTGGAGACCACTCCCAGATCCAACGGACTGCTTGTTTGTGTCTTCCCTCTCACAGGGCAGTTTATGAGGTTAGGGACCAGCTAGAATTGGCCTCAGAAGCTTTTGCTTCCTTCAGATACCTGTCTGATAGAGTGAGCCACTCAACACAAACCCTCTGGGGCCTTTATTGTTTTTTTTTTTGAGACAAGACTTTTGCTGTGTAGTCTAGTCTGATCTCAAATTTGTACTTTCGTGTCTCTACCTCAGAAGTTCTGAGAGTACAGGAGTGTGCATCAGTACAAACCCTTATCTCCTGATTTAATAGTCACGTGGTGAGGATGGGCGGTGGTGGCACCTGGGAGGCAAAGGCAGGCGGATCTCTGTGAGTTCGAGGCCAGCATGGTCTACAAGAGCTAGTTCTGGGACAGCCAGGGCTATACAGAAAAACCCTGTCTCAAAAAACTTAAAAAAAAATTAAGTGGTGACCCCCTCTTACAGTCATGGGTCTGTCTTGCTCTATAGGAAGCATTGAAGAGAGTGGGCCAGAATCTTGATGACCAGTTTAAATTTGTACCTATCATACATATCTTTTAATACTTCATAAGGTTTGAACATATAATTACTGTGAGGTTGAAGGATCAGATTTGGGAGGAGAAAGGCTCATCAAACATGTTTGCATCTGGGGCTGGGGTATGGCAAAATGCTTGGCCGGCGTGCGTGAAGCACTGGGATCCGTCCCACCACTGTAAAACACAAAGGGAAATCCAAGGAAAGCGTTCCGTTCATGGGCAGAGAAGGCAGTGCCTGCCTTTGCCACAGGAAGAGCAGCTGGGGCTAACTTCTCCACCTTGGTCTGCAAACACCGACGGATGGGGTTGGGGAAGGAATCGCTCCATCTCCGGAGGGAACATTTTGTTTTCCTTTTCTGTTGGAAATGTTTTCTAGCCTTGTTGAATAGGGCCTTTCATCTTCCAGTGTTAGGTATTTGGTGAAGATTAATTATTCAGCTGAGCTGAGGGCGCCGAGGCAGCTCTGCCTTTACTATTCTGCTGTGTGTGGCAAGCGATCTCTTGGTAGCGTTCACACAGGAACCTCAGGGGTGACTTCCGTCATCTGAAGTCAGGAGTCTGACGGAAGGTAGAGGCTGAATCTAAAACTGGGTCACACGGCCAGCCACCTAAGCATGAGGCCAGGCTGAAATTAAGCACGCAGGCTGGAGTGCGGGCTTCTCCGGGGCGTCGTCATGTCTGTAGGAGAAGCAGCTCTTCTCTTTACCAGCTCTGGAACAGTGGTGAATGTGGCCGAGTGGGAATTACACACAGCACCTCCAAGTTCGATTATTTTACTTAAACATGATTTAGATTCCCACCTAATGCTGTTTATTTTACAATCGTTGACCCAAGGTGCCTATTCCGACCATCACTGGTGGCTCTGATTTGAAATAGCTCTTGGGATTGTGTTTACATCTTTGGTGGCTTCTTATCTGTCTTTCGATGTGTATCAGGTTTCTGAAGTTGCCTCTGCCACCTCCCCTCCTCCCAACTGTGTCACCTAGCACTAGGAACCAGGTAGAGTCTCTCTGACTCTACTTGATTTGATGACAGACATGACCTAGAGAAGATGCAGTATAGATATTCTTGCTCATGCCTTAAGGGTGAGGAAACTGCTGTGTCTCCGTGTGTCTGGGACAAGGATGGAATAGACTGTGTGCGCAGACTCCCTCCTGTGATTTCCTGCCTCACCATTGGTCAGTGGATCAATGCACTGTGTGCATGGTGGGTTTTTGGATCTGGTTATACAAGTGCCCTTCAGATGTAGAATTAAGCAGTTCTGTGCTGTTTGAACAAGTTAGTTTGTTCCATTATATGTCAAAGGACTTTCTGAAATCTCTCTAACGCTTCAAATGTCAAGTTTCTCTGTGGCAGATGTAAAACAATGCCTTCCTTGATTAATTGTTTTATCCACATTTAATATCCTTATTGTTAAATAGAGTAAAGCAATACAGTATGTTTTAGAGGTCATGGGTTTGAATTTCAGAACACATAAAAGGTAGATAGGTTGAGTCTATTTCCTCTCCACTCACCAGTATCCCTTAATTTGCAAATTCTTTCTTCTTAATCCGTTTTCTTTTTCCTCTTCTTCCCTTCCTCCCCCGGAAGCTGTATTTTCTGCCTGTCTTTTTGTCTTTCTACAGGGCCCTATAATCCCGTGGCCCTGTGGTTGCCCAGTGGCCCTATTTGCCTGTTGCCCTGTTTTTTTCTGTAGTCCTGTAACCTTGTTTCCCTGTGACCCTGTGTCCCAGGTAGCACTGTAACCACTGTAGTTTTTTAGACCTTTAGCCCAGTTGCCTGGTGGCCCTGCAACCCTTGTAGTTCTTTAGCCTGTTTCCTGTAGGCCTGTTGCCCTATATCCTTATAGCCCAGGCTTTCCTTGGACTAACTACATGGTCCGGTCTGCTATCATACTCATGAGTATCTTCCTGCTTTGGTCATTTGAGTGCTTGGCCTTCAGGTATGAGCCATCACACCTGGCTTTCATTTATTTGGAAAAATAGAAACAGTTTATTGTATTTTGCTTATTAACTCTTTTTAGTTTTTCTCCACTTTCTAACAGGAATTGGCCAAAATCTTACTCTGTTTTTTTTTTTTTTTTTTTTTTGGTTTAAATTTTATTTTATAAGTGTGGGTGTTTTGCCTGCATGTGTGTCTCTGTACCACGTGCATCCCTGGTGCCTATGGAGGCCAGAAGAGGGCATCTGATCCCTTGGAACTGGAGGTGTAGACAGCTCTGTGCTAGGGACTGACACTTGTCCTCTGGAAAAGCAGCGATTGTTCTTTACCATTGTAAAGCATCTCTTCAGCTTGAAATCTAGAAGGTTTAATGTGATTTAATATTTTTAGTGTCCCTATCTTCATGTATTTGTGTTTTGTTCATTTTGCTTTTTAGGTAAGGTCTCTGAAATCACGTCCATCAGCCTGTTTCAGCTCTGCAAGTGGTGGGAGCCACTGTGGTCCCTGTGTGCTTCCTAACAGATACGAAATAGGTCTTACATTTATTTCCCTGGATCACGTTGCTAGAGCCCTGCAGACAGAATTTTGTTAGCTCATTAACATAATGCTTTAGATTAGCCAGGGCCTATTGATCCCATTTCTCACTGTGTGAATCTCAGTGACACCAGGGTGGCCCAATGTTGAAACTGTATACCGTGTTTTAAGCTTTTAAGTGCACATGTGACTAGTGGGGTTAAATTTACAATGTCAAACTTAATTTTCCTGTGTATGGCAGCTAATAATGATGGATAGCAAATTAGCATATGAAACATCTTATAATTACTTTCTTATTAGATAAAAATGCTTTGAAGTAGAGGAAGCTAGAACAGTTGCATTTTGAGGAGAAAAATACATCTTTATTGTACATACTTTTAAAAAATCTTTAGGAAGGTCTAGTAATAAAATCTCCAATGGAAGCTGAAAGTCATAAACTTGGTTGTAATTCACAGCTCTGGAGGCTCATCATGTCCCCTGACCTTTCTGTAATGACCTTGTTCATTTGGGATCACTTTCTTCTCTTACCCTGTTAGGAAACCAGCTTCAGCAAGCATAGGGCATCTCCCTTTCTTACTTCTCGCCTGGCAACACCTACACTTTCATACCTGCTGAGGCTTCTATTTCGCAACTGTGCCAAAGGCTTCTGTGTGGAGCATGTGGGGCCCTCCTGACCACCAGTGCCTCACTCTTCTCTTCCTCAGGGTGTACATCACACTTGTATGTGTGTCTACATGAATATGTGTATGTACGTATCTTCTCTTCCTCCTCCTGTTCTCTTTCCTCCATTCTCTCCCCTCCCTTCCTCTCCTCTGACCTCTCATCCTTTTATTTTGTATGATGGGTGTCATATTCTACCAAGGGAGGCAGGAACAACTTTAGCAAGGGCTATCATTAGTATTTGTTTGTTTTGTATTCTGAAGTTTTTAAACCACCCAGAACAATAATTCATTATAACCTCTTCATCCTCTATGGAAAAAAAAAAGTATCTTTTTAAAGACAACAGTGATGGCAAGTGTCTATGATCACAATACTCAACTGGTGGGGCCTGGAGGATCAAGAGTTCAATTCTCCTTACTGTTAGACCTATTTAAAACTAATTCAGACTACACAGCACGAATTTGAAACTTAGGAGTTTGTTATTTATCACTTTTGCTGCTTTGGATTGCTCTTGTGTAGTTCCAAAGATAATGTTGCTATGTTATTTATTCCTTTTGGGGGTACCTTCTTTTCTTAAAATGTGTTTATAGGTAATGAGTAAACAGACATGTGGGTATGTCTGGTTGTGTAAAGCACACACTTCATTTATACCTAAAACAAATGGTTCATTTCTACCTTTGAATGTGGGCATTCACGGATTAAAATAGTGTCCAATGTGTTTCTGACACATATACACATTGGTTATTAAATGTTTCAAAACTGTGTCTCCCGAAAGAAGAAAGTTAAAATAAGTGAAATCAACCCAAACACAACAAAATTTAGGTTTAATGCTATTGTTTAGCAGAGAGAATTTTGTTCTGATAGGTATTACTTTTAGAATGATTGTAGGGTAAGAGGGCTGGCCAAAGAAACACACTCTGACCCTGAAACCAGAGCCAAAGAAACACAGTCTGCTCATGACTTAACTTATGTCACCACTGATGTATGTGGGCTCAAAGTGCACTTTGGAGAAAAAATTTCTGTCTGTCTATGTGTGTGCCTGTGTGTAGAAATACATGTGTTTTAATTTCTGTCACACTTAGTTAATAACTGTCAGTATGCTGGTCAGAACATAACGGACTAGAATAACTATAGTCTCTTCATTGGTGAAATGTCACACTTATCTCCTTGTAAAGTCCAAATTATTTTATTATAACTGCAGTATTTCTTTGTGTTTGTTATTTTGCTGTATATATTTTATCTTTTTCATTTTTAACTTTTAAACACATGTCTAGGTGTATCTCTTAGCATGTGATATTTTTATTCAGATAAGCCACTTTCGACTTTCAATTGTATTAATTTATTTTGCTTCTCAACTTCAGCCTCCTCTCTTCCTACTCCCTACCCCATCCTCACCTCCATTTTTGACTTTTGAATATTTGAAACATTTATATTCCTATGCAATCTTTTGAATTAATTTCAAAAATTAAATATGATTATATTATCTCCCTCCTTCCCTGCCCTCCTGTCAATTCTTCTCTCTGAGACAGGGTTTCTCTGTGGCTTTGGAGCCTGTCCTGGAACTAGCTCTGTAGACCAGGCTGGTCTCGAACTCACAGAGATCCGCCTGCCTCTGCCTCCCGAGTGCTGGGATTAAAGGCATGCGCCACCATCGCCAGGCCCTGTCAATTCTTCTTATGCCTCTCCTATGTCCTTCCTTCCCCAGTTGATTATGCATTTTTATTATTGGTACACACACACATATGTAAATAAGGCCTGCTGGTTCCTTTAGCAGAACTGCTACTTGAGTAGTTAAAGGTACCCTGTTCTTGACAACAATGAAATTGCATCTGCTCATTCCAAAGAGAGATCATCTCATTAAGATAGAGGTTACAAAGAAGAGCAAGGCTCTGCATCTCCCTCTCTAGAGGAGTTGTGTCTTTTTTACCTAGAGAGAGACAGAGAAAGACAGAGACAGAAGTTCTTTATAGCTGCTTAGATTTAAGACTTTGTCCCTTAGTTTAGGAGAGTTTGTTTAGTGCTGTGTACTTTGACCTCTGAGAACATATCCCAGGTGGTAACAGGTCACCTGCATACTTAACATAGTATTATTTTTGTATGTTTGTGTCTGTATGTGGCAAACATGTGCCTATGTGCACCAGTGTGTGCCTATGCTGCGGAGGCCAGACATCAGCCTCTAGTGGCATTGCCCACTGTGTTTCTTTGAGATTGGAGCTCTTCCTTTTCTCTGACACTTGTCTGTTTGGCAAGACTGAGCAGCAAGCCTCAGGACTCTACCTATCTCTGCCTCCTCATTAACGGGATGATAGGTGTGTGTCACTGTTTCTGGGTTTTTAAAAATGTAGTTTATGGGGATTAAACTCAGGTCTTTGTGCTTACATATAAAACATTCACTGACCGGGTCAGTTCATGAGTCATGGCTTTGCTGTGAACAGTATTATAACGTGGAATATGTAAGGATAACGTTATAGACAGTGTATGTATTAGAGTCTGCTATTTCTCCAGCCTGGGGGATAGCACAGAAGGAAGGGGTGGGGGCATGACAGAGAACTACTACAAAAGAAGCCCTAACTTCAGATAGAAAAGTACGTCTACTTTCCTTGAAATAAATCATACTTAATTTTTATACCTCGTAAAACAGTTATGCTTCTAAGCCGGGCGGTGGTGAGGCACGTCTTTAATCCCAGCACTCGGGAGGCAGAGGCGGACGGATCTCTGTGAGTTCGAGACCAGCCTGGTCTACAGAGCTAGTTCCAGGACAGGCTCCAAAGCCACAGAGAAACCCTGTCTCGAAAAACCAAAAAAAAAAAAAAAAAAAAAAAAATCCCTGAAATTCTAATAATCTGTTTTCCTTTCTCAGGTGTCTCCTCCTTAAGTGTTCAGTTTGCCAAACTCCCAAAGGGACTGAAGCATTTAAACCTCTCGAGAACCTCATTGTCACCTAAAGGTACAGTGTATGTGATATACACCATATTGTGTTTCTGACTGCTCTACCTGTTGCTTTTGACCATCACTCCGATATGTAGTTGATTAAATATGCAAATTATATTATGATGGTAGTTTTAATGTAAAGGTATTGTACAATTCCAATTTGATCACCTAAACTTAAATGACTTCTTTGTAGAAAATAATTTTTAAATTTATGTGCAGTCCTAATTGTTTAAGCTTTGACCCAGGGAGTGCTGGCTGCCTCTAGTCTTGTAGCTCACTTTTCTTCTTGGTTCATTTTTGGCAAAAGATGTTCACTTCCCCAGCTTTCAGGGTGAACATCTACTTCACACAGAGGCTTTGGGGGCTTGCTGTGAGTCACCGCCGTAGTCCCCCAATTCCAGTCTTTGTTCTGTTCCCAGAAACGCTTTATTTTTCTCTCAGATCTGACCTCCCTCTCCCCCATTATTTATCTAGTCACTCATGAGACCCTGTCCCTTCTGTTGCTCTGCCTGCAGTGTTATTAAGTGAGCGTTGGCTCACAACAGTATTAGAAAAGCCCCACCCCCATCTCTTAAATTTGTCTCCGTGCTCTGCTTGGTGCCTGAACACCTTTTCATCTCCAGATACTTGCAGAGCTTCGGTGACCCCGACAAAATCTTCATCTGTGGGGGTCTCTGCTTCAATAGACTTCCCACTCCAGAGTCACTTGCTCTTCCCTTTGTTCACCTGTGGATCACACCCTGGATATTCCTGTCTCAGTACTGTCCCTTTCTATGAGAATGAGGCCACGTTGTCTCTCTGTTTTTAACGTACATTTTGGTTTTGTAGTTTCTGGCTGGTAGAAGCATGATTCATCCAGGGCTCTGCCTGACGTCATCCCTGTCTCAGTGGTCACCATGACTACACTTCAGTTAAGCGCCAGCAGCTCTGGCTAGTGACCCATCCTGTCACACATTATTCTGATTATAGAATTACTCTAGAAGTGTTTTAGAATTGCAATTGATTCATAAATCTCACCATCTCATGTGCCTATACTTGTGTACCCCTGTTTAACACTAACTTGTTAGTGTTGACCAGCATGTCAACTAGTAGTGAGAAATTTCCCCAGGTCAGTTCTAGCTGATCTGATTCCAGGAGCCATATACAGGTCCCAAGCTAAGATTCACTTCTTTCATTTTTCCTGTTATACTCAGAGATTGATTCTCAGAAGATCCCTTTTCTGATAATTATCAACTTATTGGCATTTTTCTGGCAAAAACTTTAAAGATGCTGTTAGGTTAAGTAAGTAAGCAAAAATTATTTTTAATTTCATCACGGTCTGGGCCCAACCTTCCTGCTGTTTTCTGACGTCCGTACATGCGTGCAGAGCTACATGTGCCGTGTTTGGTGTTTCACAAGCTGCTGCCATTCAGGGCATTGTGATTGTTGATGCTGGCAAACACACCCACTTTTAGGGGCCACAAGATGATCCAAGTTATAGAGTGATTTATTTGAATAATGGACCACACGCATAGCTAAGTTCTCCAGCAGTGCCAGTGTCATTGATGTGAGCTTGGCCACTAATTTTGCTTATTTCCTGAATTTCCTTTTTAGGATAAATTTCCTTAAATAGAATTACGGGCTTAAAGAATATGTGCCTATGTAGAGTTTTCATATCTCTTACCGCTTCCTCGTAGGAGTATTTTGTATAAATTTGTTTATAGTCTCTCCACCACTAAATATTATTTTCCATTTTCACCCCCCCCCCCCCGCTTTTTTGAGATATAGTCTTCATGTAGCACAATTCGGCCATGAACTCCTGATTGTTCCCTTCCTCTGTAACTAAGGCAGGCTACTAACTCATGGCAATCCTCCTGTCTCAGCCTCCAGGGTGCTAGGGTTATAGTCATGAGCTCTGCAGCGTATGTCCTTTTTGTTCTCTGAAACATGTAAGCGTTCAGTGTTCTCTTTTTCTCTAGTGGTGGTTCTCAACCTTCCTATTGCTGCGACCCTTTAATACAGTTCCTCATATTGTGGTGACCCCCGACCTTAAATTATATTCTCTGCTACTTCATAACTGTAATTTTGCTACTGTCATAAAGCATAATGTAAATACCCGTGTTTTCCAGCGGTCTTCAGAGGTCACGAACCACATGCTGAGAACCACTAGCTTAGGGCATCTCCCCCACTTTTCCTTAGTCTCTTGTGTATCTTCTTGGAATGTTGCTACTTGGCATTCTTGGTTAGTTTTCTATTTACAGTGCTATTTTTTCTTAATGTTTGGAAATTCTCTACATATACTAATGTGCAACTGTGTTCCTTTGTTAATTATTGTAAAACAAATATAGGGACACAGTGGTCATCTGTCCTTTGCAGGACAGGCTTTGGTTCTAAGGTAGCCTGTCAGTCACTCATGTCCCGTCCTCATGTCCTATCCCCCCAGTGTGGCAGGAGTAGGTACTGCACTGGCAAAGAAGGTTCTTTTGTGCCCTTGGGTGAGGACAGCTTGGTCTGCCTGAACTTGTCCCAACTACTGCTTCCCTGCTTCTAGCTTTCATATGATGCAGGAGTCTGTACTAAAATGTGTGCTTTGAGAATCAGCATTGTTTTATAAAATAGGATCTGTAGAATTTTAAATTGTCCTTTTCAGATGTTTGTCTTGAATTGTTCAATTTGAAACATACTGGTTTCTTAATGGCACACACACAGGTTCTGAAAGGTTTCGAGTTTTGCAACCATAGCTTTAAGTTTCTACTAAGTGTGACATATTTTAGTTCCTAGAAAACATGTATATTCATGGTTCTATAATAGAAAACAGATTTTTTTTTTAAACTCTTCCCACGGTCCCCACGACATGCACCCTCCCTCACCTCCGCTTGATGGCTTTCTGGACCCACACCGGCATCCTGCTGGCTGGCAGATTATGTCAAGGCAGGACCATCTGGAGCCACCTCGTTCAGCTGTAAACTCTCCAATCATGAATACCAAGCATGATTAGAATCCCACAATAACCAGAGTCAAGGATGGCATGCCAATGTGTACTGCATTTGGGTCGTAAGAGCCCGAGTTTCTCCAGTGCTATCATTTTGAAACTTCCTGTCATTCCTGAGCTTATTAACACAGACCTCATGTAAAAACGTGGGCTCAGGAAGAGGGAGGGACCACCCTTCTGCCTTTGGAGCATCCTCTGGAGTCTAGTCAGAGGTTGGCTCTCTGCCAGGTACCCACACTTGCCAATGGACTCTTTGCTGTCAGGATTAATTTGGTCTTCTCGTTTTGGAATTTATTTATTGGGTTTTATAACACTTCACTTAAAATATATGACTTCATAAGTGATTTTCCCGATGGGAGTCTGGTATTCTCCATATACTTTAGGCTCAGTCAATGCATTAAGAAGAGAATGGTGAACACTGAAGGCTGGGGAGGAAACAAAACACTTTCCTTGTAGGTGTGAGGTCTGGAGCTTGATCTTCAGAACCCACATGCAAAAACAGAACAACACAAAAATGCAAGCCTGGTGGCATCCAGCACTGAGGAGGAGGAGCTAGGCAAATCCCTGGGGCTTATTAACTGGTCAACTTAACCTAACTGGTTAGCCTAGGTCAGTAAGACATCCTGTGTCAACAAACAAGGTGGACATCTCCCAGGGTTGACCTACTGCCTCCACATGAACACATATACACACACATACACACGCACATGAATGTGCACACACACAGGCAGATGAATACGGATGACAAGATGAAGAAAGGATATTGGTCATTTGCACTTTGATTTAGATTCTATATATTGTGCATGCCTTTGTTATATAGATGGTTAATTTGGGATGCTACTGCAGGTTCTGTTAACTGTTTGTTAATCCTACCTCCTTGCATTGGATGCTCTCGATCCTTGTGTGGCTGGTGGCAGTTGCCTCACTGGATCCTGAGGATGCTTGTCCTCAGGGTCTGTAGGGTATTAGAGCTTGATTCCAGCTTCTCCCCATCCGTGCGCCATGTCCCTTATATAAAATGGCATAGCCTTTGCGTATAACCCACACACATCTTGCTGTGTACGTCTGAGGTCATCTCTAGATTATTTATAAACCTGCTATAATGTAAGTCTGTGTAAATAGTTATTGTCTTAGTTTGCTTTCTGTTGCTATGATAAAACACTAATCAAAACCTCCTTAGGTAGGAAAGGTTTCATTTAGCTTATTTAACCAGAGGAAGCCTGGGCTAGGTAGAACTCAAGGCAGGAGCCTCAAAGCAGGAACTGAAGCAGAGACCATGGAGGAGAAGTGTTGCTAACTGCTTGCTCTTCATGGCTTGCTCAGTCTAGTGTCCTAATTCTTAGCACCACCTGTTGTTGGGTGGAACTACCCCCAGTGGGCTGGATCCTCCCACATCAATCATTGATTGCCCTACAGATTTAACTACAGGAACTTTGATGGGGCATCTTCTCAATTGACATTCCCTCTTCCCAGATGGCTCCAGCTTGTGTCAAGTTAACAAAAACAAAACAACAACAACAAAACCCTAGCCAATACCTCTCTCTATATATTGTATCACCCACAGTATGCTGATGAAGAAAAAAAAAAACCATGCTTGCTCAGTATTAGGCCTCTTTTGTTTCTGGGGTTTTGAGACTGATATCAGTATATAACTCAGAATTGTAGTGGCTTTTTTTTTTGGCGGGGGGGGGGTAGGCTGGTCTTGTCTCAAACAATATAGTTCAGGCTGCCTTTTGAACTCTTGGCAGTCTTTTTTTTAACCTCAGCTTCCCCAGTACTGGATGTCAGAATGACTGTCACTCTAAAGAAAGAAAACAAAGAACTTTGGAATATTTCGTGATGGTTGGCTGCATCCACAGATGCAGAGCCACAGGCATGAAAACCTCCTGTGTCGATCTGTCAGTGTCTGCCACTGAGCGAACCTGTATATGGTCAGGTAGAAATCTCTGAGCTTCAGACACCTCTGTCTAGTGAACATTAGGCTTTCAAAAAAGAATTTTGGTTAAAAAACATTCTCTCTCTCTCTCTCTCTCTCTCTCTCTCTCTCTCTCTCTCTCTC